GTATATATATTCTCCTTACATTATAATTTATGATAAATCTTACTGCATAAGAATATATTTTTAATGATGCACAGATTGTAATAGTGTGCACCACACATGTATATCAATGAAATATCCAACTTGACCATAAATGTACACGATTAAGCCGAAGTTTTGGAATAAACCATTTTATTGCTTCTTACATGTATTACATGTTTTCTAATATTTAATATATAACTTTGTGACCTATATATATACCGGTACATATGTATATGCGTCCATGCATGTAGGAGACTATAAATAAAATATTTATGGGAACATGTAGGATTTTTTTAAAAAAAATTTCCCTATACAAGACACAGATGCTATAAATAGCCTAAAAAGCAACCACTGCCAAAAATGAACAACGGCCTTCTTAATGTTTTTGTTACGGATCTCATTTCTTCAGATTTTAAATATCTACAGAATCAACCCATTTTGTGAAATTAAAAAAGTTACCATATCTTTTTATAGCCTAAAAATTAGGATTGTGAATGCAGGACATACAGACATGACCTATATAAAAAGACTGTGAAATCCCCTAGGTAGTCAGAGCGTTTTACTTACCTGTTGAAGTTGAATTTCAGAGATCTTTTTTAAAAAAATTCAGAGCCCATTTAAAAAAAAAATGATTATATCAATTCTCCCTCCCAGAATTTGCATGAAAAAATTTAAATTGTGGGGAAATAATAATATCTTTTTTTAAAATTCCACACCATCGTATAAAATTTTGGTGTTTTCCGAATTTTTTTTATTTCTTCAAACATGGCTAAATGTGATTGATTCACATATACATCATGTACGAAAAGAACTTGTAATTTACTTCTTGTATATTAAACTTGTTTATTTTAGTACTTCAGAAACTTCTACAATATAGCCCAATTTTCATTAATAACTGAAAACAAATCTTCAATCAGACAAGATCTTTTTCAAATATGGCCATATTATCATTTCAAAATCACTACTTTGAAAATTTCGACATCTTTGAAAATAATTAAACTGCATTCAACTTGTCATTGAGAATTGCTCACATTGCTTAATCTTATTGAAATAAAACCCTTTTGGCCTTGTCTGGACTAAAAGCAAAAAAAAATTTCAAATTGTCAACGGTTCAGGGAAAACAGTGATATTCGGATTTAGATGATCACTGATAGAAAAAAAGAGGAGAGAGACAGTTCATTTAAATCAAGGCAGTATTCGACATCGATCTCATGCAAATTACCTTTCTTCCGTTTCGTACAGAATACACACACACACACACACACGTCGTGTGTCACTACATCCCCTCAAACTCCGTTGTGAGGGGATAATGATTACCTATGATAGATATGGATAATAAGAAAAACAAATGGTTGATTACAGGATATCTTCCTATTTATAGATAAGCTCTTTATGATGGGATGCTCCGCATTGCGGTGTCCGTGTTTACAAAAAAGTAAAAATAGCAAAATTAACATATATTGGGTTAGGACAAAAAGAAAACTGATCTTTCTTTTCAATTTCATATTCAGATGTGGTGTTTCTTTTTCATCCCCCCCCCACCAATCAAAGTCTTGAGGGTTTATAGTTTCTGCATGTCCTTCCGTCCGTCAGTTTGTCTGTTTGCCTACAAAAGTTTTAATATTGTCCCTAACTTCGAATTTTGTTGGAACTGTTGCTATCATATTTCACTTGAGTATTCCTTGGAAGAAAATCTTTCTCAAGTACATGTACCAACATATTGAGTTCTTGACCTTGTGGTTTGACCAAATTTTCGCAAAATTTAAACAAACTTTAACCTTGGCCACAACTTTTGAATAGTTTACTAATAGTGCTAAGGTACAACAAATACAAGTACCCATTGGACAAAATGCACAAAGAATCATACTGTACTACCGGTAATTTACTGTACACATTTTCAATTCACTGTTTTACTTCCCACATTCTTTGGCAGAAAAAAGTCTAAAATGCTTGTTACATCTTTAAAAATTTATCTTCACAAAAATAAGTATAAACATAAATGTACATATATTTAGAACTACATGCAAAGATATCATATATCTTTCATACTTTGAATGAGAAATTATGTATTCTAAAATGTTAATGGCCTGTATCTAAATTGCAGCAAATGAATGGTAGAACAACATCTTTACCATATTTTTACCTACTCCAAAAGTTAATTTAAAAGAATGAACTACATGTAAATAACTAAATATATATATTTTGAATACATTGAAGAAAACTGTATAATAAACCTAATATTGTTAGGCCAGGTAAAATTAATCTTTAGATTCTCATCCTAATTTGCAAAAAAATTGGGGCGGGTGGGCGGATTTTATTTTTTATATTTTATAATTGTTAATTTATAAATAGGCCTAAGTATCAACAAAACAATGGACGCCCCGTACACATTTTTTTCATTACCTTAATGCAAATATGAATAGATTTAATTCTTTTCATATTCTTTTAAATATTTAAAGAAATTTTTTTCTTTAAAAGTTAAATATTTATTGTTTATTAACAAATTAACAAGTACACATTATACGGCACACCCTGAACAAAATGAGGTGGGGATACCAATAAATTGTGTATGCGTGACTTCTTACTTTGCAAATTCTATATAAATGTTCTAATAATTATTCTACTGAAAAATCTAGCCCTTCTCTTAAGTCTGTCTACGATGTTGTAGATTTTTTTTTATTTCAAAGCTAAGTCACACAGCTAGAGATCGTTATATATAACTTGACTTTCCTCGTCTATTTTTACTTAGTTACAATCTCTCTACATACTTGCTCCTGCCAGTGATGGTATCTATATGTGTTTATGCTATTTTTTCTTCTCTGCCTTCTCTATACTGACAAATTATCTTTTCCTTACAAATTTAAGGATATCCGATCCTCAGCCAGGAGGGATAACTCCAAAAATTAATATTTAATTCGAAATGCATCAAAATGAAGCTTGAAAATGAAAATTTTTCAACCAATTTCATTTTATTTATCTTTATAAGATTCAAGGTTTTTGGAAGTCTTAGAAAAGGTCTTATAAAAGTTGACATTTGTACCCTATAAAAGGGAAAAAATAATAATACAGTTTTAGAGAAATAAGATTTTCTTGAATCCAGCCTTAGATATCAATGCTTATTAGCATGAAATGAAATAAGAAGAGTTTTTGGTGTCTTGCAATGATAGCAAAAGCCTTTTACACTATGTATTATGGAATACATGATAGAAATATAAGACAAAAAATACCAAATAAGCATAAAAATCAGGACAATTTTTCTGAATGCCTGGATACCTATAGTTTTTTAACCTAAAATATATTTGTTAATCAATTTGCAATTGGAAAATGCATGGCTGATATTCCAATTCGCTTTTTCTGCAAAAATATTGGAGATTTGACATTTTCCCCTATATAATATGATTAACTTTAATCTTTAACTTAAAAGAAATACTGTGGATAAATGTACCTAACTTTTATGGATTTATAGATACTTTTATGAGTATTTTTGATTACTTAACTGCTAATTTTATAAACCTGAGGATCGGACTACCTTAAACTGCTTTTATTGCCGATTTTTCTCCATTGCTATAAATAGCGACACACGAATTTTAATACAGACGGGAGATAACTCTTAAACTTTGACCCAAATTCTTACTGAATAAAAATACAAGAAAATACCCAAAAATCAAAATAAAAAACATCGGGGCGGGACATTTTGAGAGGGGCGGGCGGGGATGAGAATCTAAAGATTAATTTAATATGGCCTTATCATACAACTTTATTTCTGCATGTACATCAATATATGTCCATCACATATATTTTTTTTTTCAGCACAAATAAAGTCTGGGAGAGGGATATAACATTAAATAATTGTTGCTGATTATAATTACATTTGCTTGTGACACACTTTTCCCCCTCTTTATATACTGCAGATCACTTAATTTTCGCGACACCTTATTCGCGAGATAGTTATTGATTCTTTCTTAGCAGTGGCGTAGCATCGTTTTTGAAAGTGGGGGGGCCAGGCAGAGAAATTTTTTTTTTTTACTTACCTGAAAAAGTTGACAAGCAAAAAAAAAAAAAAAAAAAAAAAAAAAAAAGGTGAAAGTTGCCCAAAGTCGAAAATCCTATTTTGTGTGTGTGTGTTTGTGTGTGGGGGGGTTGGTAAACTTTTTCTCAGTGTCAACTACTATTATACTACATTTTCAGTACATTTCTAAAGGTGGTCGGGGTAGGTGGGTAAACTTTTTCTCAGTGTCAACTACTCTTATACTACATTTTCGGTACATTTCTAAAGGTGGTGGGGCCAACCAGGCTTTCAATTAACATTTCCTATAGTGTAAGTAAGGTTGGGAAAAAAAGTGGGGGGGCCAGGCCCCCCCCGGATACTACGCCCCTGCTTAGCGAGACAAAATTTTCAAGAATTGTTGTCATTGCTCTATATAATCTTAAGGAATTCTATAATACGCGAGAATGAAATTTTCGCGAGCATTCCGTCTCACGTAATTACGCGAAAATAAAGTTCTTGCGAATAAAAAATGATTTAGAGCATAACCTTTCTTGGAATAGGCCTTACACCATGCTAATTAATAAAGAACACTAAACTGACTGGACACAGGGTATAGGACAATTATACAAAGCTTAATATAATACAACTTCAGTGCACTACTAGTTACACATCCTAGCTGACTCAAAGCAAAGCACTAGCAGACAGGTTATTAGATGTAAATGAAAATATCAAAACTACTGAGAAATGCTAGGGTAGATGCTTGTTTCGTACAAAGGAAATGGAAATACACGTCTGGTTTAGCCAAGACTTGAGATTAATAGTGATTTTATTAAACTCCTTTTCAGTTTATTTGCCCAGAAGCAATCAATCAACTTGAGAGCTGATAAAAGAATCATACTTCAAACATTCATTTGTAAAAAGTCAGTAATAATTTTCAACTTCAACTTCTTCAAGTAAATCGTTAATATTAAATGTACTTATTATCTTTATGACGTGTAAATATCATTGTACATGTAGCTTGTTTTCAGTTACCAAAATTTTGTCTTCAAAAAGAAACAACCTAATAAGATATCCATTACTTGTACACAATCAATAGGTGTAACACTGTCAACAGAAGTCCTCTTTTCTCCCGTCCCCCTTTCAGTGGCTGAGTGATGACTGCTGTTTGCTGGTTCCTTATTTACTGGTCAGACTGTCTAACTTACAGATGACTTTGTTGATCTGTTTATTGTAAGTAGGTAATAGTGCACTGACAAAATACTCCTCACATTCTCTCCTCAGTGCAGAAAGGTCAGGGATTTTCTCACAGCTGGGAATATTCAACAGAGTGTAGAAAATCTTCCTCCACAGCTGCTGGTTAAATTTCCTGTAAATTATAAACCTTTACATTATAATCATAAAACTATCATTGAATGATTGTTTCTATCAATTTAATTAAGCAGAAAGAAAATGCATTCCCAAAAGGGATGCCAATCGATACAGAATTGTCAATCAACCCAACGTTCTGACTGATTTTGAATTATCAACTTTTCATAAGGACACTACAAAGCAGAGCATCCCATTGCAAAGAGCATATCAATAAATCAGGGCAGCCTCTGACATCAATCCCGATGTAAATGATGTCACGTCCCTTTCACACAGGACAAACTAACACACATATACACAAGCACATTACTAAATCCCCTCTAAAGCTGTTCAAAATAAATTTAAAACAAACTTAAGATATAACTTCACTAAAACAGAATTTTACTGCATGAATCATTTTCACGTATATATCATGACTTGTGAAATCGCTGTTCAAATCCTTGTTCAGATTTTTTGATATTCACCACTTGACCAGTGAGATCTCTGTTTACCTGTTGACAGACTGTGTAATTTTCCATTCTTCCTTCTCCTGGTAAACTTTCATGTACTGACCAAACAGTAAGACGTGAATGGTCCCCGCCAAGCCAAACAGATCAGTCTGTCAAAAAAATTATAAAAGAATTGAGTTCAAGTGTAAAGCTTACATGACAATGCTCAATTCTGTTGTTTAAATAGATTATGGACAATCAGAGTGCATAAATAAGGTACTGATGCTTTTTTGCCATATCTATTATTTTATAAAGCTTCCAGTTAAACAGACAAATACCTGATAAGTCCAGGGTCGGTTGGTCTGCATTTCTATACACATGAAGCTGGAGGTTTTGACTTTGGCCATGAATGTGGTCCCCGCTGGGTATTGTGACATGTCAATACTCTGTCCAAAGTCAATCAGAAGAAGGGGGCGCTTGTTCCCCCGGAACACCACTTCTGGATCACTGCTATCAGGCAGTGGGGTGCTACAAATAAGGCAGGATAGTCAGCTACATGTAGATATCGTGAAATGCTCAATTGTTACCCCCCCTCCCCCTCAATGTCAGCTGCAAACATTGCATAGCAGTTTAAGGTTAATTTTATTTTAACTGACCTGTTTCATTGTATCTTGTCTACTAATAGCTCAGCTTTTTGTGATTTTCTTTTCAGCAATTTTACAGGAAAGTTCCATTTCTTTTTTATTTGGTGAAATAATGTGCATTGCACGTTTTTCAAATTTACAATCTGCAAATACTCACAATCCTTTCACTAGCAGGTTGTCGGGCTTCAGATCTCCGTGGATGATACGACAGGCGTGGAGCTGTTCCACCATGTGCATCAGTTCTATAGTCAGGTACATGGTCAGGAACTCCTGGGACTTATTAGTCTCCCCAAACTTATTCACAACATCCTGGAACAATTCAAGGAATTTTAGAGTCGCAAAACAGTCAATATAAACTTTAAGAGGATCATGTTCCTGAGTCTCGGTTATATCAATTTATGTGCCAATGTGTTTGAGTGTAACTTTTTTTAAATTGTAATATTCAAACCTAGAGTAATGTTATTTTTATAACTGCTCCATCTACTGGGTATAAACTGATTTACGCAGACAATACCATAGATACAGGTAAAACTTACCAATAATGAGCCGTGTTTACAGTATTCTGTGACCAGACAGCTGGCGTCTGTGTAGAAGTAACCCTTATCTATGAACATCACTGCAGGACGCTGTAACATAAACCAACATAATACTTCACAATAATCGATTATGGTGGTCTTAGGGTTATAAACATTTGCTTTACTTTATTCATGTCTTAAACAATTTATGCTTGCTTAATATATGATAGATATTTGATAATGGGAAACAATGGCTTTGGAATACGATTGTAGGGATGTGCAATTTTATCGGTATACCGGTATATCGCGATTTTTTGTTGCGTGATACGTATCGTGATACAGAGACCTAAATACCTGTCTTAAGGTACGTAATATAAAGTCCAGAAATTATTCATTTATTTGTTCAATCTTTCAAATTACAATTACAGAAAGTATAAAAAAATGTTGTAAACAAGAGGCCCATGGGCCACATCGCTCACCTGAGCACTAAGGGTAGGAAAAAGTAGAAAATGGCTTTTTATTGTAAAGTTTAAATCCAAAAGTAGTCCCATGACCAATCATGGATTTGCTATTTTTAGAAAATGATTTTTAAAGAATTTTCCTATATATTTCTATGTAAAACTTTGGTCGGCCATTTTGGCCCCGCCCTACCCCCGGGGGTCATGATTTGAACAAACTTGAATCTACACTACCTGAGCATGCTTCCATTTAAATATGATGAATTATGGCTTTGTCATTCTTGAGAAGAAGATTTTTAAAGAATTTTCCTATATATTTCTATGTAAAACTTTGGTCGGCCATTTTGGCCCTGCCCTACCCCGGGGGTCATGATTTGAATAAATTTGAAACTACACTACCTGAGCATGCTTCCATATATATATGATGAATTATGGCTTTGTCATTCTTGAGAAGATTTTTAAAGAATTTTCCTATATATTTCTATGTAAAACTTTGGTCAGCCATTTTGGCCCCGCCCTACCCCTGGGGATCATGATTTGAACAAACTTGAATCTACACTACCTGAGATTGCTTCCATATAAATATGATGAATTATGGCTTTGTCATTCTTGAGAAGAAGATGTTTAAAGAATTTTCCTATATATTTCTATGTAAAACTTTGGTCAGCCATTTTGGCCCCGCCCTACCCCCTGGGGTCATGATTTGAACAAACTTGAATCTACACTACCTGAGCATGCTCCCATATAAATATGATGAATTATGGCTTTGTCATTCTTGAGAAGAAGATTTTTAAAGAATTTTCCTATATATTTCTATGTAAAACTTTGGTCGGCCATTTTGGCCCCACCCTACCCCTTGAAACTTGAATCTACACTACCTAAGGATGTTTCCCCATAAGTTTCATCTTTCCTGGCGCAGTGGTTCTTGAGAAGAAGATTTTTAAAATATGCCACCAAATTTTCATTAATTCCCAATTATCTCCCCTTGAATGAGGGCGTGGCCCTTCATTAGGCCATGCAAAATTAATTCCTTGGTTCTCAGGCCTTTTTTTCAAGAAATATGATGAGGGAGGGAGGCATTTCTTTTTCAACTTTTTATTGCCCCCAAAACATGATGAGGCAGCTTTTTACATTGTACAAAGCCTCAAAAAATGATGAGGGAGGTGATTTGTTGTTTTTAAGGTCTTCCGTTTCCAACGGGAGACCTTCTACTGATTCTGTTGGTAAAGATTATTATTCTTTTTTTTTTTCTTCTACTTCCTAGACGCCAACTTTGAGGCCTCATATCTCACTTATTTATCACCGGATTTGGCTCAAATTTTCAGACATTATAGACATTATTAAACTCTATCAGAGTAATATCTAACATTTCAAAAATTCACTTCCAGTTTTGAGTTATTCCCCTTTAAACGAAAATTTATAGGCTTTCGTTTCCGGATATAGGCTCAGAGACCACAAAAGCTGGAGCAGAATTTTTACTGATTTTAGGTAACAGAAGGATTGAAGTTGTGCACATCGGTTTTTGTTTTTCGATTTCTGTATTCACAATGGCGCTTTATAGGGGTCAAAAATTAGAACGCCTAAAAGAGCGAAAATTTACACATATGTTCCTTTTTATCTTGAAAACTAAAAATATTTTGTTAAGACATAATGAACAAAAGTTGTGCACAATTGCAAGGGCTTTCATATAATAATATTCAAAAGGGGCTGGCCCCTATAATTAGGGATCAAGGGACCTTGAAAGTTTTTGCTTTATAACTCAGAAACGGTAAATATTTCAAAATGACTATTGATTATAAAGTTGTGCTTTAACATCTTACTGATCTCATGAAATTGTTATTGTGTTCGAGTCTTGTTTTAAATGAGCTAGTGCATGACCTATATATGCACAGGTAATTCTTTTCACTCAGCACGTAAACGAGAGCTCCTCATGCGTGTAACCAAAGCAAGCTTATTATGAATAATAAACATGGCTACATTAAATTCTAATATTCTTCAGAATAAAGTTCTTGAAGTGTTTGTGCTTTTTTTCTTCCAAATTATCATGTTTATTCACTGACAACTTTCCCTTTAATTTCATTTTTTTTTAAATCGTATAAACCAAGTCCACTAAAAAGGGAAGAAAATATAATCTTTAATTCTTCTTATCACATAAAAACAAACAATATAGTGAGAAAATAAAACATAACTAAAAAGCACATATGCTATTCACAGCCATTAAGTGCACGGCTTTAACATTCACCTTGTTTGTTTACAATTATATAACACGCCTCCAGCGATAGCGGCGGGGCAAAGTCGGTCACCGGGAATCAATCGGCGTGTGATCCAGCGACCTACAGTCATACACAAAAAATAAACAACCACAGAATAGGTAAATTAATTCTTGATAAAATTGTTCCTTTTTATACTATCTCTGCCCCATGAAAATATTATTTTGTTCGAGTCTTACGTATGGTAGTAAAGAAAGCTAGATCCGTATTCACCGTAAACAAGGCTCCGTTCTCATTTTGATATTGAAGAATAATTTATATAAACTTGCCGTAAGTAATAAATATTTTACAACGCTGTATCATATCTCTTTTTTAAATTAGGTTTTAAGGTTATCCGATCCTCAGGTTCTGAAAATCAGGAATTGAGTAATTGAAAATGCTCACAAAAACATCTCTAAATTCTCAAATTAAAATGTATTCACCCATGGTGTTTCTTTAAACTTCATCTTTAAATTTAATCATATTATATAGGGAAAATTAGTAAATCTCAAATATATTTTCAGGAAATGCGATTTGAACTACCTACTGAATATTTTTTAATTTATAATTGATCAAGAAATACATTTTAGGAATAAAAATCATAGGTATCCAGGCTTTTAAAGAAAATTGCATGAATTTTACACTTATTTAGTACTTTACTTTTTCCTACTTACTTCCATCGTTTCATAATGCATAGTGTATGAAGTGTTTTTTTTTTTTCAAAGAAAACACCGTAAATCACTTCTAATTTCAAATCATGCTTATAAAAATTGGTAACTAAGGCTAAATTAAAAGAAATTTGATTTTTTTTTTTAAATATGCAAGATTTACTTGATTTTATGAGGTACAAATGTCAAATTTTTTAATACCATTTGTCAAAACTTTAAAGAACATTGAATCATACCTAGAGGCATAAAATGAAAATTGTTGCATGAAAAAATTTCAATTTCAAGCTTTATTTTAAGACTTTTTGAATTAAATTATAGATTAAAGAGTTATCCTTCTTGGCTGAGGATCGTATATCCTTAAACGTGTTCTTTGTTTCCTGTTCGGAGTATTCGATGGTATCATTTTCCTTTTATTAATAAAGATCTTTCCAACTCCAAGAGAAAGAGTTATAGAAAAAAAAGTACGAGTATCTTTTATTCGTTTGAATATAAACACAAACAATTTGAACGGAAACAATATACGCCCGGATTTCATAAAAAAAACTTTTAAGAGTCAAATAATACACAATTATTTACTGTGCGATTCTCATATTCACCTGGATTACACGCGGCCGAGAAATTCTAAAGCGACACACCGCGGTGAACCACTGACCCCGCAGTCATAGGCAAAATAATTGGTATATTCAAACCATTCTACAACAGTAAGCAAATATTATTTTCTCTAAGTAAATTAAATCTTCCAAAAATATCTTAAAATGTTTTAGGTTTGACTTTAGTATAAAACGCTGGGGCATTTATTTTACATGTACATTAATCAGTCTTCAATTTTTAAATATTCGTTAGCTCCAAATTTGACGATTCATAGCGCAATAAGGACTGGCGATCTTCAGTTACTTTACCTCAAATAATATTTATTAAAATGCACAAGCTTTGCTCTTTTCACACACAAATAAATCCGTTTTCAACACAAGTTTTCCGAAACACATTTTTTTTCATCACATATATTAACCATGGTTATACCAATTTTAAACTTCCGAATCGTAAGGATAGAATTATACTCAATGAAATGGATTAAACATCAATAAGTAACATCGGCACGTGTAAACTTCATAAGTGACTTCTGTGCTGCACACTGTCTATTTATATTACAGGTTTTATAGTAAAGTTCAAGAAATAATGATTTTAAAGCAATGAACTTAATTTGTTTTATAATTTATTCAAAACCCGTATAAATGATTAGTATAGTGTGCTAACATTGTAATTTTGTCCCGCGATTAAATATCAGTAGCAGGTTATACAATGTACATTCGAGTAGTAATAAACCCGCATCGTATGTCCAGAATCGAAAATCTAAGAACTTATATACCGGGGTAACAATCTTATCTGAATATTACAGACTTATCATGTAATTACACGTTTTTACAACCTAAATTAAACTGTTAAAATCATAACCGGAACCAAAGTCAAACCATTTGTATCGTTTACCGTATATAACTCAGTATTTCCTTTAAAATGATGAACTTATATCTAGCGCAAATTACTTTCCTTGGTTTAAAAATACGCGTACGAGAGAAAGCTAGTGAGAGGCATTTTATTCAAGTACATTCATGTTTTTACCAGCGAGTCCCTGTATCAAGTATTGTCTAATTTTTATTCTATTACACATAATCTCCCTTTCCTATTTAAATTTAATTTATTTGATGATTTTATTCAACTTCAAGCACAATATCATTATGTAGACAGTAGTACTAAAATGAAGTACATGCACGGATGCTATTGTACATCGGGAATTTTCTTTAATCATTTATCCATGCATTCCTCCTTCGAGGGAAATAATTATGAATAAATTGATTGAATAACGTGTATAAAACCATGTGGTTTCGGTTTGTCAGCGTGTTTTAGATCATGATCAGCAAATCACAACTCCTCGGGTCTTCCTGTCTAACAGAATAATAACCTCGAATGTATAAGGGATACATCAAGACATCCCCATGCTCCTCACCCCCCCTTTTACCCAAACTTTGAAATAAATGAGGAAAGATATTTTATTTGTGGACTTTTGAGTTTAATTTTATTGAAAGTAAAGCTAGCTATTACCTAAAATACGTATTATGGAAGGGACTTTCAACCCCGTCTATCTTTTTTAAATAGAAACTCCATGTTGTTTGAATATCAATATCCGGTGATGATTAAAAATACCTCAATGTTGTTTTTCTGACCTGTGACAAAATGGAACGAGATAATGCAAATTTCAAACATCTTCATCGGCCAATGACAGAAAAGTTGTAAAATTCCTGTCAGGGTTATGAACTTCTAATCACTAAAAGGTGTTTGTCTTGACACAGAGCCAAGGTTATTCTGTTAAGATCAAGGTCACCGACAGAAGAAATATTTTCTTTACTACGCCATGAAGTAGTAAATGAAAATCATTGGAGGCTTTTACTTGAAACAGATTTCTTATGATTGGAGGTTTTGTCATGACTCTAATCAAATGTCTTTCTGGCAAATCAAGGTCACTGACAAAGAAAAAAATGTTTAAGCATAACTTTGTAATTAAAATTCAAAGAAAGGTTGTTGACATAAGAAAGTGCAGTAACCTTGACCCAAGGTCTGTACTTCCTGTCCACAGCTCCAACGGAAGACCTACTCGTTGCTTTGCAACGAGCTCGGCTCTAGTTATTTTACTGATTTAGCAATAAAAAGGGTCAATGAGGCGCCCTTGGAAGAGATGAGGGAGGGCCTGAGAACCAACAAATTAATTTTTTTTTGCCTTAGAACAAACTTGAATCCCCTTCACCCAAGGATACTTTGTGGCAAGTTTGGTTGAAATTGGCCCAGCTGTTCTTGAGAAGAAGTCGAAAATGTGAAAAGTTTACAGACAGACAGACAGACAGACGGACGCCGGACAAAATGTGATCAGAAAAGCTCACTTGAGCCTTCAGCTCAGGTGAGCTAAAAATGAAAAGAACGGATCTTACTGTCCAAACATAATTGATTTTCTATATATACATAAAAATTTCAAGAAAGTAAAATTTTGTTTTTCTAGCATATTTTTTTAGAAAAATAATGACTTTTCATATAAATCATTGTGAAAACTGCTTTTAAAAATATCATGATATTATTGTGATATTTTGGGAAAAAATCGTGATATATCGCAATTCGACATTTTTGGCTATACCAATCCCTGACGAATTGAAAAGGAATGCTTCAGATTTGAGGGGGGGGGGGGGGGAAACCTTTAACTGATGTCATCATGGGAAATTCACTACACAATACCAGTACTAACCACATCTACAGGCCTTTGTAACCTCTGTAGTCTTTTCTGCATCTCTGTACAGACATAAAACTCCCACACATTAGCTGGCTTCTGGACCTACAACATATACAGGTCACTATAAACAACCACTCATCTCTGAATAGACATAAAACTCCCACACATTAGCTGGCTTCTGGACCTACAACATACACAGGTCACTATAAACAACCATTTGCATACTAACCCCTGTTTTTAATTAGCGTTGAACTTTTAACATGATGAAGATTCTTAGAAATCAGTAAACAATAAGTTCCACTCAGGTAGCATAAACTTGTACCACTCATGTATTAAGACCTGTTACAAGTACTAATATATCTTAGTTAAAAATTAGCCATAACTTCAATGACTTGTAGTAAATGACTCA